ACAAGGTGTGAAAGATAGACTAACACCTCTCACGCTGGCAATCTGACATGCTCCGGACATTGTGAAGCTTTCCATGTTGTTTCGTGACTGTTGTTTAGTAACATAGCAAGTTGAGTTGTTGTAGTGGATTTAGTTTTTCTGGTTTTAGTTTCCTTGGGTTTAGTTTTAGCTTGTGTATTTACAGCAAGGTGTGGGAGAACCATCCATGTTCTGTCAACATGTACATCTTGTCTAGATATATATTGGAGTATTATGGGAGAACCATCCATGTTCTGTCAACATGTACATTTGTCTGAGAATATATTGGAATAGTGGGAGAATATCCATATTCTGTCAACATGTACATCTTGTCAGATATTTTGGAGCATTATGAGAGTCCATGTTCTGTCAACATGTCTTCTAGATATATATTGAAGTTATGTAGCTAGGGGTGAAATGTGTTACTCTGAAACAAAATATGTATATTTCTGATTGTGACATGAATCTCAGGAATCACTTTGTATGTTTCTCATATGAAGTTAACTGAAAATAACTTAACACATGCTATGATGTGAATCTCATTCACATGGTCCTCTGATAACTTTCACAGCATGATGTGAATACATTCACACTATCCTGTGTTTATATGAATTTATTCACAGCATTCTGTGTTTATATGAATACATTTATTGCATTCACATTATGCCGTGTTTAGCATTCTGTGTTAATATGAATACAAGTATGACATGCAGTGTGTATGTGAATACATTCATGACATGCAGTGTGTATGTGAATACATTCATGACATGCAGTGTGTATGTGAATACATTCATGACATGCAGTGTGTATGTGAATACATTCATGACATGCTGTGTTTATGTGAATACATTCATGACATGCTGTGTTTATGTGAATACATTAATGACATGCAGTGTTTATGTGAATACATTAATGACATGCTGTGTTTATGTGAATACATTCATGACATGCTGTGTTTATGTGAATACATTCATGACATGCAGTGTTTATGTGAATACATTCATGACATGCAGTGTTTATGTGAATACATTCATGACATGCTGTGTTTATGTGAATACATTCATGACATGCTGTGTTTATGTGAATACATTCATGACATGCTGTGTTTATGTGAATACATTCATGACATGCTGTGTTTATGTGAATACATTCATGACATGCTGTGTTTATGTGAATACATTCATGACATGCTGTGCTTATGTGAATACATTCATGACATGCTGTGTTTATGTGAATACATTAATGACATGCTGTGTTTATGTGAATACAATCATGACATGCAGTGTGTATGTGAATACAATCATGACATGCAGTGTGTATGTGAATACATTAATGACATGCAGTGTGTATGTGAATACATTCATGACATGCAGTGTTTATGTGAATACATTCATGACATGCTGTGTTTATGTGACTACATTAATGACATGCAGTGTGTATGTGAATACATTCATGACATGCTGTATTTATGTGAATACATTCATGACATGCAGTGTTTATGTGAATACATTTATGACATGCAGTGTTTATGTGAATACATTAATGACATGCAGTGTTTATGTGAATACATTAATGACATGCTGTGTTTATGTGAATACATTAATGACATGCAGTGTTTATGTGAATACATTAATGACATGCAGTGTTTATGTGAATACATTCATGACATGCAGTGTTTATGTGAATACATTAATGACATGCTGTGTTTATGTGAATACATTCATGACATGCTGTGTTTATGTGAATACATTCATGACATGCTGTGTTTATGTGAATACATTCATGACATGCTGTGTTTATGTGAATACATTCATGACATGCAGTGTTTATGTGAATACATTCATGACATGCTGTGTTTATGTGAGTACATTCATGACATGCTGTGTTTATGTGAATACATTAATGACATGCAGTGTGTATGTGAATACATTAATGACATGCAGTGTGTATGTGAATACATTAATGACATGCTGTGTTTATGTGAATACATTCATGACATGCAGTGTTTATGTGAATACATTCATGACATGCTGTGTTTATGTGAATACATTCATGACATGCTGTGTTTATGTGAATACATTCATGACATGCTGTGTTTATGTGAATACAATCATGACATGCAGTGTGTATGTGAATACATTCATGACAGGCTGTGTTTATGTGAATACATTCATGACATGCTGTGTTTATGTGAATACATTCATGACATGCTGTGTTTATGTGAATACATTCATGACATGCTGTGTTTATATGAATACATTCATGACATGCTGTGTTTATGTGAATACATTAATGACATGCAGTGTGTATGTGAATACATTCATGACATGCTGTGTTTATGTTAATACATTAATGACATGCAGTGTGTATGTGTGAATACATTCATGACATGCTGTGTTTGTGAATACAATCATGACATGCAGTGTGTATGTGAATACATTAATGACATGCTGTGTTTATGTGAATACATTCATGACATGCAGTGTTTATGTGAATACAATCATGACATGCAGTGTGTATGTGAATACATTCATGACATGCTGTGTTTATGTGAATACATTAATGACATGCAGTGTGTATGTGAATACATTAATGACATGCAGTGTGTATGTGAATACATTCATGACATGCTGTGTTTATGTGAATACAATCATGACATGCAGTGTGTATGTGAATACATTAATGACATGCTGTGTTTATGTGAATACATTAATGACATGCTGTGTTTATGTGAATACAATCATGACATGCTGTGTTTATGTGAATACAATCATGACATGCAGTGTGTATGTGAATACATTAATGACATGCTGTGTTTATGTGAATACATTAATGACATGCTGTGTTTATGTGAATACAATCATGACATGCTGTGTTTATGTGAATACATTAATGACATGCTGTGTTTATGTGAATACAATCATGACATGCTGTGTGTATGTGAGTACAACAAGCGGCTGTGTTCACACCACCACTAGTACATTTGTATGTGAGAGACACAACCTATCTCAGTTGACTGCCATTTTTATAATATCCTGGGATTTTATGGCAGTTACATCATATTTCAATGCAAAGGTTATCTCCACCAAACCGTGCCTGTGCTTGTTGTCGTAAGCGGCAAGGAACAGGGCGAGTGGTCATGCCGGCTGATTGGTTGATGTGTCATCCTACCCCAGCTCTGTAGATCAGTTCTAATGATGTCAGTCACTGGATTGTCCGGTCCGTTGTTTCCTGACCGCCATCATATAGCTGGAACATTGCTGAGTGCATTCTCTTCCCACAGAGGTTACTCCTGTCATATCTTCCTACGTAACCTCTGTTCTAATACGGACATATTTCCCGGTTCTCGTAAAATCCCCTAGCGGCAAAAGATCGCAACACGAATTATCTCCCTTCTTTCTATCCAATCAGAACACGTGTTACATCGACTTAGATTCAACTTGACTAACACAAGCAAATGTGGGGCCACAAATATCCCCCCATCTGCCGGGGACTTGTGTTGATGTTACACACAAGACGTTTAATGGCTAGCTTGTCCGTTGTCAACGAGGGCGATGGAGACGCCACTGATCCGCCATAACATGACTGAGTTCTGTCTAGAAGAAACGTTTACGCATTGCGCAGGGGAAGAAGTTTAGTTTTCTCGAAGCATACGGAAATTACCAAGGCCTTGCGAATGATCACTTTTGAAACAACGTCGCTGATTGCACAACTAAATCTGATTGCCTCCAATCACGAGTCTTGAACGCTCACACCATGAAAGGGCCGTATTAGAACAGAGGTTACGTAGGAAGATATGACAGGAGTAACCTCTGTGGGAAGAGAATGTGCTGAGTGCGGAAATAACCAACACACAACCACAACTTATAGTTACAAAATGTAAAGTTTGATCTAAACCAGCACATTTCAACTTGGCAAGCTGCTAGTACACGATGCAATTAAACATACGCCCTAATATTGCTGACTTGTAGCCAGACTGTGTCCAGCACTCAGGTCATTCTCTGTAATGCCTCTTGCAGTAGCCGGCTTCATCATATCTGTCTCTCTGACCACTCTTCTACAATCACAAATATACTCTGCCAATATTACATATGGTTCAACTTTTAGGAAAGTTCACTTATAGGATGTAATTTTTTCAGAATGTGTGCATGTTAGTGTTTGGAATTGGTTAAAATCTCATAATTGATGATTGGTTCATTACAACCGATCAATCATCGAAAATAATTGGTCAGCGTCATTTATCAGATTTTCCTGGTTATGTTTGCACAAAAACATAAAGAAAAAACATGTAGTTCTTTGGGGTTTTTTAAAAATTGCTCAACTTTAAAAGATGACTAGTATGTAAGGAACATAAATTTCTTGGGGGTCTTTAAGATAAATTCAATCATGACTTGGGCAAGCTTGTAGTGCTCATGAAATGTAACAGAGAAAAGCAACTGTGTGAAAGTTAACAAGTGTTCCAAAATTGTTTGTGTTCGATTATGAGAAAACATGATCGATTGCTTGGTCGTTTAGTCACTGCGACCAATCTTCGATTATTTCAATTAATCGGACCACCACTAGTGCATATCAGTGTTTGTTTTAACATTTAACCCATTGTTAAACATTTTGCCAGTGGAAATAAATTCTTGCTTTTAACATATTGGATGCTTCTTTAAAACATGGCTGACCTTTACCATTGATCAGATATACTTGAAAAGAAACATTAGAGGATGCTAGTGCTAAATCAATGGGTATTTTATTAAATCTAATTACATTGTTCTGTGATCAGTTGGTAAAAATCAATTATAGTGTAAATTTGAGACTATTGTGTATATTTATTTTCATAGTGCTAAAGGTGTAAACTAAATATACATTAGGCCATCTGTGTCATCATATGTTGTGTTTTTCATTGGCTTGATCAGGAACCATACCTTCTCTGTGGTCCTTTCAAGCAAATTGAGTGAACATGCTTCTTATTGCTTGAACATTTTCTGTTTCAGACGACAACTTTGAGTCTTGGGGTTGTGATCATGCTGGTGTCTTTTGTCATCGTGTACTTTGTCAACGAGCAGTCAGATATATTGTTTTCACACCCAACATCTAATAGATATTACACATATTGAAACTAGGTCAAAATCAACTTATTTTAGCCTTCACTCAGGCTATGGTCATGATGGTCAAGGTCATCTTGGTCGTCAAGGTCATATCTTGCCATCTGTACTTCCTGTACAATGTTCATGACTCAGGTAATGGTCAGTAAGGTTTAGACAGTTAATTAACTACCCGAATTTGTAGGACGTGAGCCAATTGTCAAACTCTTTTCTACTCTTCATTTTGGTTTCATCTCAGTATTTCACTTTCCTGAATATAAACAAAGATTTGGTATCACCTAACGAGAATGTCTTTTTCCAATTTTGATTTGATGATAGAACATTCACACCAAGAAGATGAAGACAAGACTTAGGATTTGAGCAGCCTCCACTTATAACTAGTTGGTCAACTGGTTTGGTCTCACCTAGTGCAATGTGCTGTTCTGGCCAGATTGTGTGAAACTTGTTTGATTTTATGTTGGGTTACTGTTGATTGTGCCTAAGTTGATCTTTGTCATTTGTGCTTGAAATGAGTTAAATCTGGCTGCCCTGAAACTACAACTGACTGGGTGAGTGGACAGTAATCCAGGATTACCACCAGGTGTCGAAATGTCAGTCTTCTCTAATTCAGAGCAGAATTACACTGCACTGTAATATGTCATTGTTCTAATAACTGTGTACCCTATTGATATACACTATGCCCTGTAAATGCCTTAAGCTTTACTAATTATCTATAAGTAAATTATCTGTAAGCTGCCTTAAGGTTCCATATTTTCCTAGAACATTCCAGTCTTGCTTTGGGACCATATAGATGTGTAGTTATATAGAAGCATAGTTGGTAGTCTGTTGTCACTGTGTGGAGCATGGCTGTCAGTATGTGGGGAAGGCTGTGCCTTTCTGGTAAGTCAGTTTCACATGAATACATACTCAAATGATGAAGAATCCAACGTTTTGATTCTCTGATGTCCTCGTGTTATGGCTTTTTGGTCACCTGAGAAACATTCATGGTCTTTCTCGCCTATCACAGGAACATCTGTAAAACATCTCTCTCACTTATAAAAGACTACTTTTTCTAAAAAAACAGCTATCATCTGAATACATGTAACATGTTTGTGATGGCACACCTCCCTTTGTAGCGTAATTCAAATAAACATGGCGGTCCAAAACCGTATGTTGTCCAAAAACACAAAATCTGACAATACCACCCACAGATTATAAGGGATACTGTACATTAACCTTCAGATATCATGTTCTATGTCGTATAGACAAGTGTGGGTCACATTACACCATAAGTAGAATATTTTTGGGGAAACAAAGTGTTTTATGGTCATCTGACATTCTCTTAACTGGCATTTTGACATGCCATATTTAACTAATAAGTGCCATTGGCAGTGAGAAATTCTTCAAGTGTGTGCAGATATTGTTAAAATTGTTGTCGGCTCTATGGTAGTAAACAAAATTTAGTTCAGACATCAGTGAAACGGAATTTTTATTAATATTACAAAATGTGTAAAATTCACAAGACAATATGGATCATCATTTGTGTCTCTGTCGGGCACGCACGGTGGAAATAACGTTAAAATTGCTAGTGTACTCCAGAACAGTGGCACATGTAAAGTTCACTTGCCCTGATAATTTTTCCACTATACCGGCCGTTTTCTTGTTGATGTTTTTAAATAGACAACATAATTGACATTGGAAAGTCAACTGGATACCGGTACAGTGTGATATACAAATTTGCTTGCCTGACAGAAAAAAAAACACTGGACTCGGACGTCGGGCAAATGGGTCGGGGCATTTATTAAGATCACTTCCACTTTGGTCCGGATGGTGGACGTCAATATGGAGAGTACATTATGTTTGTATGTATAAAGACATGTTTTCATGTACTGTTTGTTAAGAAAAGAAAACTGAATATATTTTCCAGATCAACTTATAGGGTTTTTTTATTCAGCACGATTGACTAAGAAATACTCAGTTTGTTCCTGGGCCAAGATTTTCGAAGCTCTCCTGATTTAGATTAACTTACAACTGTCTTAGCTCTAAGAGAGCGTAGAAAATCAAGGCCCATGATAGTACAGGGATGTGAGGACTGTCTTGGAAATGATGAGTTAGTATGAGCTATGTTGTGTATTGTACAGAGTGGAAACTTGTGGTGGAGAATGTTGTAAACAGCAGTAAGAGTATTTTAGTAAAGGTTAACAGGTTAAATATGTATTTGCTTTAGCTTTTGGTTTTTTAATATACATGTATTTCTATGAAACATTGTAAACACTGACACATTCACATATGCTTATCATGTCATTGTGTTGTCATAGCAACAAGTGTTGATTGAAGTAACATAAACAGAACGTTGTGTTTAATAATGTCTTCAAGGTTGTATGTCTCACATTGTGTATTTTATATTTGATACAATGAAAGTTTAGGAAGGAAGAAGTACAAAGCATTGTGTGCAGTGTTAGTGTTTCAGTCATGTGATGTAACTTGTAAATTCTTGTAAACTGCCAACCGTTTCGAAACTTTCCTACAGAATTTTATGTATGTCTTAATTGCATACAGATGACTGCTTTGATAATTTCTCTTTCTGTATTTTATTTTCATATAATACTCTTAATGTGCTGAAGTGTATCAGTCTCTTAGAAGGCATTTTTGGGAAGTTGATTTTAATATTATCTTCTAATGGCAGAGGTCAGAGGTTTCTTTCTGTGATGACCATGTCATTGTAATAAAAAGGTAGAACGTGTCCCGATGGGTCTTCCTGTGTTAATGGGAGGGGAGTTGTAGAGAGTATATGATTACCATATTGTTTTGTTCCAGTGTGAAAACATGTACTTATATGTTTCCATTCTCTGACAACACTTAAGATTAAACAAACAAAAAAATGCCTGCTCGCGTTACTGTGTTTGTGGCTACAAATTATATACATAGGAGTTGAGTGAACTAGTACATTCCATCATTCAGCTGTGTAATTACATCTGTAATTTAAACATCTCACATGTATATATATTTTTACCATTGAAGTGTATGAATCATTGTTGAAATGCATTTGTCATGACAAGTCGCTGAACCTTCTTCATACATTTATGCCGTTTCCATGGATATAAGAATGTTGTACACTATCTTGCATTGGAGAATGATAGTGTATATGTACTGGTTTTGTAATGTTGAAGTGGTATTGTGTATTGTTTGTGTTGTAGTAATTTTATGTTAGTCTTTGTTTGAAGATATAGTTTCAATTACCAGAATATTTGTGTTTAGCTATTTACCTCAATTTCCCAATACATGAAACAGAATGACAATTCTGCTATTTCTTCCTATTACCCAAGTAATAAATCATTGCATCTTAATGGGTGGACACTTTTTTAAGCAAAGCAAATGTATGTGTTTCCAGTAGTTTGAAGTATCCCATTTAGACTGAGCTGTCTGAGTCGAAGCAGAGTGGCATCTTCGTGGTAAAGAAGCGGAATCAAAAGCAGCATTCCAGATAAATAGCAGTCCAAGTTCCCTTGAAGTTTACTCAAGAGCTAGGGAGGAATCCACTACATTTAAACACTGGAAACTAGCTCTATACAATAGGGTTATGAGTTGCAGGCTAAACTTTCAATCACTCTTTTATGTTACAAAGACCAGTTATTGATGTGTACGGTATATGTCTGTTTTGTACATGAACATTTGTAAATATTCACATTTTATGGAACAAAAATATTCTCATGTAAATAAAGTATCACATTGTCCTTCAGTGCTGGTCTTTGAAGGGACTTAAGCCCGCATGTCACTTGGAGTCTTCTGGGAGTCTTGTAATTGCAACACTCATAATGTTTGAAGTCTGTTGAAAGTAGAGTAAAATGTCATTGTGTCACCAATTTACACTGTTACATGACATTTGTGATACTGTTCAGAATTGACAGACTACTATCAGAATAAAATATAAACCTAATTGTACAGCTTCAGTTTGATACTAGGCTGACACATTGTGAAGTGGAACAGGTAAGGGCATCAGGGATCCCAGCCAGGTGCTGCCATTCACTCTACTGCAATACTTGGGAAAGTCAGATGCCCAACAGCTTGGGTTTTGCCTAAGTTCACTTCACACTTTTCTCCCACATCAAGTTGACACATTTTGATGTACTGAATACTGTTCCAAACATTTCAAACCCACTTGTTGGAGACATTAACCATCCTCCAACAGGTCACAGTACTTGATCTCATCACAGATTGAGTAAGTGAATCCATGTTTCTGCTCTACGACAAGACAGAGACGACTGTTAACATTTAATGGCAGTAGGTACAATTACAACAGTGTAAAGTTAACACATAACAAAATGACTAAGAAGCTGACATTTCTTGTGGTCTGTGGACCCAGTATATCCAACATAGTGTGTACAAGGCTTACTTGTGAACACTAGACTTGCCATCTGTATACTGGTATGTCACATAAAAATGAAACACTTTACTCTACAGGGAATGACATTTTCCTTGGATATTGCATATTTTCTACATAATTCATGGTTTATGTTTAAAAAATGTTTAGACTTGCAGAAAGAAACAGTTACTGCTTAATTTGCTTCTAAATTTTGTTTGTTGATTCAAAAATACAAAGCCTATCAGTGTTTGGGCAAACAAGCCCTGAAGACAAGACCAGGCAAATACTCAATCAATCATAAGGTGATATCAGTCATCAGTCCAAATGAAGGATGTCAGTAGAACCACTGCTGATCCATAGTGAAACCTCACTGAAGGTGACATCCTGAGCCTCAACTAGCAGACTCAAAGGTTTGAGCATAGACTCTTACTGGCTCAGCAACAAAAGGCAGGTCTAAGAATGTACAGACAATACATCTGGAATTATGCTTCTTTGTGAAATATACTGTTAAGGATCTACAGTTTCTACACAATAATATCTGTCAAACAAAATATAGTCAAGGGCTATCAAGCTACGTCTTGTGTATCAAATGCACCGAAAAGAGGCATGGAATGTTTACCATTATTTTCCCTCAT